TACTTACCGTTATTTACCACAATAGAAAAAAAGAGGAAGGTTTAAAAGAATGATACCTGACAGAAGTAATTAGTTGTGATGAACACAGCGAATGTATTTATTAGAGGGAGAGAAAAATAGACTATGATATACTAAAATTCAATTAAGTATGTCGAAGAATCAATTAGAACTCATTTCATCTTTTCTGACTTAATCATATTTTTACAGAGTCATTTATGATCTGAGTTCACTTCGGTATTTCTTTTTGTTTCAGAAGTCAGGTCAGATCCAGTTGAGTTTAAATACGTATTCAAAAAACGACAGCCTGAGCTTGGTTCGGATTAAGTCGATTGATACCGATTAAAGATCAGCTCGTTTTCAGTTTTTGATCCATACACTACACTGCTATTTTTTTCAGAGTATGTTCTATCTGTCTCGAAGATATAGAATGTGTGGATCCGAGTGAGCAATGCCGAACGTGTTCAAAAATATTTCATAGAGATTGTATAAGGAAGTGGCTAAAAACAAGACGTTATGGAAAACGTGAAATGAACTGTCCTAATTGCCGTGTAGATATGGGTAAGTGGTCTGGTATGAAATAGCTCAACTTGTATTCAAAATTTTCTTTCTTAGCATGGCTTGTCGAAATTCTGTCACCACTGTCACCACTGTCACCAGTATTACCACCACTACCACCACTACCACCACCACCACCACCACTACCACCACCGCCACTGCCGTATGTGATCATTCAAGTTTTTTCTAACATTATTTTCGAACGCGTTTATTGATATCGATTTCTAGGAAGTGCCCTATTTGTATGCAGCACATAGGACTAGATGTAGCATGGATACGTTGCCGTAACTGTGACAGCGCTTATCATCAAAATGAGCTTGTGGAAAATGCAACTCAATTAAATAGGGCACAGCAGCCGGTGTTTTGCCGCGTTTGCGATGCAGATATGAGTAAGCTCAGCCGATAATAAAATCACGAGTCATTGCAGATATATTTCTCTTCTTAGGGTGGGTTCTACAGTTACCGGCAGCTCCAGCTTCTCCTAACGATCTTGATATACAACCAATTGAACTAAATATCGATATTAATAACTTTAACTGGGATTCACAATCTGAATCTGAAACAGACGCATACTAAGATAACTTTAATTCTAAACATTATAGCGTCAGTAATTGTCCGCATACGAGAGAAATTACAAAAATACTGCGATAGATTTCCCAAAAAAATTAAAGAATAGAGCCCTGAACCATCTTGAGAATGTGGGTGTGGGTGTGGATGTGGACGTGGCTAAGGATCGAAGTGGGTGAGTGTGGATGTGGGTGATAAACTAAAGGGATATTCTTCTTAAACACCCAGATCCACACCGACACCCACACCTCCAAGATGTGTTTGATATCAGTGCTTCATTTATTGCATGATGTGAACTTTGCTTATCATATTCAGTAGTATTTAGATATAAAGCAGTCGATTCGTCTTTAGATAGTTTGTATCTCGGTGGATAATGACAACGGATTGTGGCTAATTTTATGTAGTGATACAATAAATTATCAATAGACATAATATGAGTAAGTGCTGTTTCAAGTGGTAAAAGGTAATAATTCATATAATTACAAAAATCAGACTGTTGTGTATTATTATAGTAAATTTGAATAAATCTATTCATTGTATAATTTCTATTCAATTTGTAAAAAACATTTATGGAACTTAATTCACGTCTTGTACTATATATCAGTTGCTTGATCCAGCAACGTAAAAATTAGTATGTTTTATTATAAACAAAAACATTTTTTTATAAGTCTGTCGTTACAAAAAAAAAATTTTTCTTTTCTTAGTGCGTCATCAATGGCAATAAAAATATATATTATCGACAAAGAACGAAAGACAAAGAAATGTGCGTATTTATTGAAGATATTCTGTTTTTTTTCTACGACAGTATGAATAAAATAATATCAAAATTGATGACAATTTTTGTTTGAATAAACGTACAAAAAGTCCAACATGATTTCAGAATCATTGATAATAATCTCCATATTTTTTAATGATTTGTAAAATGCACCATTCAAATGGTAATAAATTATTTTCATTTACCAGACACACAATCAGTTTTGTCAGCAAATATTCATTTGTAAAATAACTAATAGGATATTATAACAGAACTATGAAAATATGTAAAATGTAAAGAGATCTGTGTAGTTTAGATCTTTTATTAGATAAATTAAGACCACTCGAACTTTTTTACCAATCTATGAGTTTTAGGTGAACACATCAACTATTCTGATAGTCATGTATTGAAATGATATCTAGCATGATAGCTATGAGAATATCATACATACCAAAAGATTACTTCATTTTAACTACATATATTATTTTCAAAAATGATCTCAATTCATCGATCCTTGTTCAGATATTTGTATAATCTTAATATTTTTATAATGAGACAATATTTCAAGAGGTTAGAGAAGAGAATATTTCTCTGACTCAGCAAAGTAGTCTAAACTCATTGTTTGCAATGGAATAATTCATTGAATTTCTCCATCGACTAAAACGATATTTTTTCAAATAATCAAAAGGCTCAAGCATATCATTTTCTCATCAATTGACGATTTTACATGTCGACATAAAAGTACATTCATTTTTTAATCAAATATATTTTTTCTGTTATTTAATATCTACTATTAATATACATAATGATACAATGTAAATTGAGACCGATAATAAAAGATTCTATAAAATTCATTGAAAAATTATTTTCGTTAAAAAACAAATACTACCTGCTTCGTATTTAACATTTATACCCCCTGCAGTTCTTGACAAAAGCATTCTAATAGTCTTTGAATGTGTATTGATAACTTGTTTTACATTATAATGCATAGAAAAGTGATTTTTTTATATTGTCATAAACCATTTTTATTTCTACTAACGGACAAAAAAAATAATATGCTTCAATGATTAAGGTTGCATGTCTTGATAAAACAAAACGAGATGCTTTTTTGCTTTCCTATTGTTTGCTTATGTAGCCGGGACGCACATTTTAATAAAATATCCATCATGTTGATAATATATAATAGCAACAAAAAAACAAGTTTGATTTCGACAAAAATAATCTTGTTTTTTTGCCAGAGTTAAAACTATTTATTTTGAATGCAAGTTCTAAATTAAATAGATACACATAGTTTATGTATTGTAATACTCACTGACATTAATAAAGTATAAATAGTTTTGAGACAGTAAGTTATAAAATAACTTCACTTTTTGTATTTTTCATCAATACCTTTAATCAAGATCTACCAAAATGTAAGTAAAGATAAAAGCGAGTACATCAATACATATAGATTATAATAGATGTTTCATTATATTATATAGATTCTTATAAATACTCATAAATACTACACAAACTCTATAAATCTTTTTTTGCAAAGTATAGAAATATTGAGTCATTGTAGAATTTGTTTTTGTTTTGAGCTTACAGTGTAAGTTAACAATGATTTTTACTTTCTATTTTTATAGTTGAAGGTGTTTTATATATTACAATGATATGATAAATTTATCCAATGTTTCTTTTTGTTTAGTGTAACGATCACGAAATACAAGATTGTCAAAACTGAAAGTAGTTTCGTCACACTGAGACGAAACAAAACATTCATATCGAATCATTACAACAATAATTCACCATATCAATGTTTGCACATAAATAGATACGAATGACAACTCGACCACGTTTATTTGCCCGTACATGTGAAGTAAATAGTAACTTCGAACAAATATCGTCATCAAAATACTCTATTATTCTACTACTGGATACATTTTCAGATGATATGTATTTACGTCACGAACTCGATCATCTTTCTGACTGCCTCTGTTTTCAAGCATATACTACAGATAACTGTTTAGATTTAATAAATCAAGATGATATCAAAGATGGTTTAATTTTGCTTATTATTTCAACTCCATTCGTTGACTTTGTTTTCGATACCTTGTTAGAAATTGTGCCACAATTATCATATATTTATTTATTTGATAAAATTCCAGACAAAGAATACTCAGTTCATGATATACGATTTCGTGGTATATTCGATAATTGTCAATTCTTAATTGACCAAATACGTCAGGACATTGAAAAATTTGAAGTTTCTACTCATAAAAGCAAAGGCATTCAATATATACTTGAAGACAGTGCAACATTTTTTTGGTATCGATTCTTCTTTAATATTCTAGACCGTTTAAAACATACTGACATCGCAAAACATGAAATGACTCGTCGAGTTCGTACTATACATGGAGATGGTACATGTAGGGTGGAAGAAATTAATGTGTTTGAGGATGCATATGAATCTGATCATGCTATCTATTGGTACACTATAGACAGTTTTTTCTATCGTGAACTTAACAGAGCATTACGTAGTCATGATATCAATCAGATATTTTTATGGCGAGCTTATATTAGTGATCTCGACAGAAAGCTTCGAGAAATATGCTCAGAACAAATGAATTGCCAGTCAAGGTATATGTATCGAGGTCAAGTGCTTCATAAATACGATTTATGTAAGCTGGCAAAGAGTGTAGGTAAATTAATCTCAATCACTTCTTTTCAATCTACAAGTTCGAATCTCAATATTGCGAAGGTTTTTGCCGGAGATGGTGAAGTTGATTTCCCTTTTCAACCAGTTGTCTTCAAGATACTTATTGAATCAAACAACAATAAAATAGTATGTGCCGATATCTCCAAACTAAGTGACTTCGAAGATGAAAAAGAGCTCCTATTTTCAATACGATCAATGTTTCGTATCGAACGAGTTGGATATTATGGTAATATATGGTATATTGATTTAACAGCTGTAGATGAAGACGATCAACAATTTTGTACAGCAATCAATCCGTGGAAAACAACTATTAGTGAACAAAGTTTTTTTTCTGGACGCCATGAACCATTATTTACTCGATTTTTAATCGATGAAAATAGCTCTTTCTTAGCTTTTCAACTACTTACTGATATAATGTTACGACTTCATCAAACTGAATTTGCTCGACAAGAAATGATTGAAATGTGTCGATTGAAATATAAAAATAACTTAACTAATTTAGAGAAGATCAATGAATTTGAAAGCTCTTATCAACATAGTGATGCCTTAGAATGGTATACAACAAACTCTTTTCTTTATCGAATTCTTCATCAAGCACTTCGAATAGAAGATATTGACACTATTTTTAAACTACGTTATTATATTTATGATTTACATAATCAATTAGCTCAACTTCATAGATCTTATCTTTACTCTTTACCATCGGATCAACCAATACTAACACTTTATCGTGGACAACGTATGAAAATTACTGAATTGACAAGACTTCAAGAGAATGTTGACAAATTAATATCTATGAATAATTTTTTATCAACAACAAACAACGTTACAGCTGCTGTTTTTTTTGCTGGAGATGGCTCTCTTAATAATACAGACGAGGAAATATCAGTTCTTTATCAGATCACAATTGATACAAGTGTTTCTCATTCTATTCCATTCGCAAAAATTCAGTATAAAAGTATATTTCAAGACGAAGATGAAGTTTTATTCTCCATGGCTTCAGTTTTTCGAATAGATAATGTTGAACAGTATGGAGCGTTGTGGGTAGTTGAATTAACATTAATCAACAAAGAAGATGAAACATGGAATATTCTCACAGCTCATTTAAATAAATAACGTCAGTCAATCGTCATATGTATTTATTCATCAAACTATACTTTACATTGAGAGTTTGATATTGTTTTTCAGGTTTAAAATATAAAATAAAAACGTTTTTGTGAAGCTTGTAATAATATAGTATATTATATAATTATGAGTGATACAAATTCAAATATGTAACGTTTGTACTGTGATTGATAAAATGCAAATAAATTGATTTTAAGATAAGAAAAAGATGCAATTATGTTAGACTTATCACTGTTTATCTCTTTTATCATTCTACAAAGTTCTAAGCATCAGTTGTGGTATATATCAGACAGATATAGAAACGTTGAGTAATATTTTTCATTTTTATGAATTAGAAAATGATCAGTCTGAGTTTTCTTATATGTTATTTTTCATAAAATCATTGCCGTTATATGATGGGTGTGGGTGTGCGAATTATATTCATTCGCTCACACCTGGACCTACATCCATACTCTCAACGTGGTGAAAAGGGATTGCCTATATAATAATGTAAACCAGAGAAGAGTAAAATAACTGACTGCATATACTAAAAAAATCAATAAATACGTTTATCAAAAGAGGGATGTACACGAAAATGAATCTAATAAAACAATTTTAAAAAACTGAATCGTCATAAATGTGTTAAGATATCGTTTCTGTTTAATGATATACAAAATGTAAAAGTTCAATACAATTATGTAACTGTCTAATTGATTATCCTTCACATCAACAAGATGAATATTTACTTTGTACATTAGATTCTTCGTCAATTCAATGTATATTATTGTAAAAATGGAAATTTAGTAAAAGTCTTTTTCGAGAAGATGAATTCTTGTGTGATTTAATAAATATTTTGGATTAACTAATGATGAATTTAGTGAATATCCATTAATACCGAGAATGAGTTCTGATCGTACGAAACCATTTCATATACATACAAAAATTTTCCAAATCTCATCAACAAATAATGTACTTGGAATATGGTATTGCCATCATGATATATTAATTCTCAAAGACTCTGATAGCGGTCAGAAAGTTCTGAAACAACAGTTAATTTATATTCATAATTCTTTTAATTGAATATGTTTTGTGACAATAGATCAATAGAAAAACATAATCTCAAAATTAATTTTATTGATAAATAAAGATAGAAATGAAGGGTATTTGGGCGATTTTCACTATAACAATCAAAATACTTGAGTGAACAATTTAATTGTTTCAAGAATGAGATTTCAAAAAAACGATCTTCTCTGACATATATTAATTAGGGAATAAAATAAGTCCTATGTAAAATATATTGAATGTTCAGTTCTTAAATTAACAGTAAATATTATGAAAATGCTCAGTTTATTGTATTAAGTATCAGTAAGAATATAGGATTACTATCAGTAAGGAAAAGAAATTTGATAAGTAAAGAATTCAAATTTGATCAGTAAGTAATACATGTTTTATCAGTAGAAAAAAGAAATTGTAAATTACATATCACGGAACGAGAAGACAAATTTGATATAGATAAACTTGAATCATTGCACCAGTAAGGCAGATTTTGCTTTTGATGGACGACCTCTTTTTCTTTGACGGTGAGAGTATAGGTGTAGATGGGAAAGTAACACCCATCCTTCCTCTTCTTCGTTTTTTATTTATATTCATACTGGGTGATATAAACCACATTCATATTTATTATCAGTTAGTACTTTCAAGTATGTAGTACAGTGTGGGACCTAAAACTATTTTTTAAAAAGTTAGTAGTTGACAAAATCGGTAAAAAGTTAAAACAGTTATAACTAGAGTTATAACTATCAACCGCAGTTATAACCTTCAACCTGAGTTATAACCATCAACTGTAGTTATAACTATCAACTGCATTAATTTTGTCTCTAAATACTAGTAAGATTGACAAAACTGATGCGTTTGATGGTTATAACTGTGGTTGATAGTTATAACTCTGGTTAAAGTTATAAGTTATAACTTTCAACCAGAGTTATAACTATCAACCGTAGTTATAACTTACAACTACGGTTGATAGTTATAACTCAATTAACTTTTTGGCCAAAAAGTTGATCGGTTATAACCCAAAAAGTTATAACCCGAGTTATAACTACCCTAGTTTTAGGTCCCACACTGATGTAGTAGAAAAGAAAACATAGCATAGATGAGTCACGCAATAGTATACTTCAGTTTATTGACTGATCCTATAACATAACTAACTAAGAGTCGATTTTATTTACTGATCATGGAAATTTCTAATCATGCGTTTTATTTAATTACTGATCACTTAAATCCACGAATACTAATTACAATTACGATATTGAGCTACTTCGTGTTTCTGTTAGTATAAACTATTTTATTTATATTGTTATTTTTCACCATGAAAGATGTTAATATTAATTAAACTGTTGCGATGTAGAATTTGACGAAGATTGGCTTTATCAAATGGAATATTTGTTTGATTGCGTATTAACAATTCTTGAGTTTACTTAGTGAGACTCAATTAGATAGTACAAGTAGAATTAAACACGGAAACTAGTATACATTATTTTAAGAAAAACAGGAGACTCGCATGCTCAGTCGATAATATATGAAAGCAGTAATTAGTTATAAAAAATGTGTTTTTTATTTTGAGTAAAATAATTATAGACAAACTGATGTATATAATGAGGCTGTCTACATAAATAAATGCGTATATATACCTTCTGTCACTCTGCAAAATAAACATTCTTGATTATTTTTTGCGTTGATGCAGATAAAATGACAATTTTTATTTAGTAAACTGAAAGTTTTTAACGTTTTTTTACATTATTGGAAACACATCATTAAAACTTTATGATGAATTCAGAAGAAAACGATACATCGACAACAACATTTCAAGTAGCTGAAACTCAATTAACTCGTCTTATAAAATATATCATTTTCCAAACTTTTCAAATTCCTGCAATATTTTGTTTCATACTGATTTTTTATTGTGTCTATCGTGAACGTGAACTTCGTCGTCTTCATAATCATGTTATGCTTTTAATCCTTCTCAGTTGCTTTATTCTTTTAATCGGTGAACTTCCGATAACGTTAAGTTTTTTTTATCGTGGATGGTTAGAACCTCAGTCTGATCGTCTTTGTCTCTATTGGATTTTTATGAATTATACTTTTGAAGCGATGATTTTTCTTCTAATGGCATTTGCAAGTATCGAACGATTCGTATTGATATTTTTTTCAACAGTTATAACAGGATCACGACGTCGAAAACTTCTTTTTCATTATATTCCAATGATATTCTGTTGTGTTCTTGTAATCTTTTGGTATATCATCTTGCTCTTCTTATATCCATGTGTCAATACTTTCAACTTTAGTTCATTCCTATGCAATTCTGCTTGTTATCAATCGAACGTTGTAATTGGAACAATTGATTGGGTAGGAACTGTTCTTTTACCTGTATTGATTACCATTGTTTTTAATGTGTTATTATTGATTCGTGTAATATTACAAAAACGACGTTTACATATCGGTATGAATTGGCGTCGTTCAAGGAAAATGTTGATTCAATTACTTTCTGTCGTATTAATATTTCTTTGCACACAAATTCCTCTGACTATATTCGCATTGATTCGTCTAATTTTTGATCCAAATTTTCTGAGTACTATAGTCATATTATGGTATTATTTTACAACATATTTCATCATTTTGCTGATTCCATTTGCATATGTTATTACGACAAATGAAATACACAAACATCTAATTATTTTAAAATTTTGTAAACCTCGTTTGATAAATCCTGTGACAGTTAATACAATTCAACAACCAAAATATCCTACTACCAAGATTTAACCAACTATAAGAAGAGAATTTCACCAACATAGGAGATCGATCTACACATTCTTTTTCGTATTGTTTTCATTATACTGTACTCTTTGTTGTTGTTTTTTTTTTCTTCAAATATATTAATTCAATCTGAGTTCAATATCGATTTTGCACAATGAAAGTGAACGTGAATCAAAGATAATTGGCGAAAGGAAATCGAGACTTTGACAAATATCATAGTTCCCTCTTGAGGATGTTAATGTGGATGTAAATTTTCTATTTCATCTACATCCACACCCTCAATTTATTCTAATTCAGACAATTAATTCCAATAAAATAAATATTTTCTCAAGAATATAATAACAAGTTACATGTCAAAAGTATTTCAAGATTAAATCTAATAAATCAGTAATAAGCATATCATTTATTTCTAATATGTTTTTGATGGACCATAGACTTCAGAAGTATTTAAAAGTATACTACTACTAGCTCCACCAGCAATAAAAACTGAACCATTCTCTAATATAGATGCAGTATGTTGTCTTCGTGTATAGTTCATATTTCCAGCAAATGTCCAAGTTCCTGTTGATAAATTATATAACTCAGTACTACTTAATTCCTCATTACCATCCCATCCACCAGTAACTAACACTTGTCCATTTGTTAATAAAGATGCTGTATGTTCACATCGTTTATGAGTCATATTACCAGTAGTTGTCCAAGTTTCAGTTGATGGATTATACAATTCAGCTGTATTTAATTCTTTATTCCGATAATATCCACCACTAACTAATACATTACCATTCCGTAATATAGATGCTGTGTGACCAATTCTTATAGAAATCATACTACCCGTGGTTGTCCAAGTTCTTGTCGATGGATCATACAACTCAGCACTGTTCATTTCAATATATTGAGTGAATCCACCACTAACTAAAACTTTTCCATTGTTTAATACAACTGCTGCATGAATTTGTCGTGCATAATTCATACTACCAACAGTTATCCAAGTTTCACTTCGTGAATCATATAATTCCGAACTATTTAACTCTTTGTCTCCATTCCATCCACCGACAATTAACACCTGTCCATTTTTTAATAAAGATGCTGTATGAAAATAACGTGCAGAACTCATGTTCGCAATAACTGTCCAAGTTTCTGTTGTTGGATCATACAATTCTGCACTATTTAAATATCTACCACTAAAACTAAATCCACCT